AAAACACTGAATCCTGTTACTACTGAAGAAACTGCTGGCATCAGCAGTTTAATCAGAGCAGCAGGGTCTGCGGGTCTTGTCGCAGGAACACTGAAGACCTATTATGTAGCTGTTTTACTGTGACGACAATATGCAGTCATTGTGAGTCTGCTTGGTGATGTGAATGCTAAGAGGAAATAATAGCTGATGAGGTACACATTACAGAGAATAATTGCATCATGAAATACAGGTCTCAAAAGAGCTTTATAATGTAACAGCCCCAGATTTGAAATAAAGCTTCTTCTCACACTAGTAGTAGAAGTGGGCAAACATATTTGTAATAATGGAATCTACTGAGCATTTTTAGGTAGGCTGTATGCTAAGTGCTTTACACATGTTAATTTATTTCAAGGATTTCCTGTGCTCTTTTATTTTTTTTAAAGATTTATTCACTTATTTATACAAGCACTGGGTACAGTCAGAAGCTCCAGAGAGTGAGAGAATTCACCAGAGCCAGAGGGGAGAGCAGAGCAGGCAGACTGATGAAGTACACCCTGAGCAGAGGGCAGCAGGAGATGTCTGCGTGCCATGTGGGACCCTTGCTGTCAGCCAGGGATCGAACCAGCGCTGCAGAGGCTGCAGGCAGCTTTGCAGCACAGCGCTCAACCGCTGTGCCACTGGGGAGGCCCGATTTCCTGTGCTCTTGACTTGCTAAAATCAATGTTCTTATTGGAATAATTTCTGTATTTAAATAAGACCACAAATTAGAAAATGTTAAGTTTATGAAAATATTGTGTCCATAACTTAGTGTGTGCTCAGTAAATTCTAGATCTTCTTCATTACCAATTCTTCTTCATTAATAATATTTCTTTGTTAAAATGCAAATACATTTAGAAGGTCTTGTCTTTAGTACTGAATGTATATTAGAATTACCTAAGTGAATAATTTTAAGTACAGGAAAGTCAAAAATAACTTCTTACTGATGTTTCTGCTTCAAGATGTAAACAGGATAGCTAGCAAGATAGAAGAAAATGTTTTCGCTTTAAAAATATAGATCTTCCATTTTATTTTATTGTTCATGATCTGTAATCCTAATCATTACTAGTTTCATTCATGAGTGACTGTCCTCTTACGAAATTCAAATATTCTGAATCCTAAATAATACAATCAATAATATTCTATCTACTTTTTCTGCTTTTGAGAGATATAAAGCACACAGCAATTAAAAAAGAGTTGATTAAAATGCCACTCAAAGATAGAGAAAACATTAAAAACTTATGTTATTGAATGACAGGATGAAGAAGTAAATGCCGCTTAGGTAAGAAATTTAACATATTCTTTTGGAATTAAGAAATGACTCGGTATAGTTCCAAGATGTTTTGTTATATTCAAAGAAATGACAAAATTTTTTACAAATCAACCAAAAAACCAATCAACAAATAAATAGTGGTAATTATGTGATTTACTCTGCCAGTAGGAAAAAATAGAGAAGCAGTAATTCTCTAGCAATTGTTGCTTTCATTGCTGCACCGTTGGTTAGCTGCTGAGCAGCTGTTTGTTGTCACTTCCCTTTTTTAAACAGAAGAAATACTAACGATTTTGTTCAGAAATTTACCTCCCTCTAATGACTCAGTGGATTCAGTCAGGCAAGACATTGTCATCTGTTTCCAATAATCAATTTTGAAGTGAGTGTCTCACTCAGGTGTGACCAATAAGAAATGAGGGATGCCCTGGTGGAAGACTCCTGGTATGACTCTCCGTGCTCTTTAAAAGTGACACACAGAAAGTTACTCTACTGCTCCATCAATTATGTCTTCCCTGACACAGGAATATGACAACCCTTTGCAAGTACTGAAGGAGTAAATCGATGTGCTGGAGATGGAAAGGTGGAAAAATAGCAAGAAACTGGGCTCTTATTGATATCCCTGAGCTGCTGAATTTAACCAACCTTAGATGTGCTCTATAAACACTTTTTGTTATGCATAAACATTTATATTCCTTCATGAAGCAATTGTGTTGCTTATTGTGCAAAGCGCCCTGAAACACAAGCTCTCTATAAAATCTTAAGCATTTGCAGATATCTAAACAAGACAACATTTTTCACAAACACTATTAATGCTTCTCTATTTATAAAATTCATTTTACATTAAATGTATGTAGCTTAGTATACTGATTTTTCATTTATTATTTTAAGATTTTCCTCATGCTATTAAAAGCTTATAAATAATTTTTCCAAAGCCTAGAAATATACCATAATCTCTTATGGTGTATTTTCCCTTGTTAACTACCAAAGTCCTTTAAACGACTTTATGATAAAAACTAGACTGTAGTATAGAGGAATTATTTCAGTGTGGGTAGTATATTTCACTCATTCACTGAATGAATAACTATCTATAGAGTATCTCTTATATGCTAAATATGCTGAAATACAAACAATTAAAAATGATTTTTGCTTATGAGAGTTTCAGTATAAGAAGAAATCATGAAAACAAGCAGGCAAAAGAAATTTATTGTAAGTTTTAGTGAGTTAAATAAGGGGAAAATTCAAAGAATGAATAGATAATAGCTTTTATACCATCCTCTGAAAATTAACCAGAAAAATTAATTCTGTCAAAAAGAAAATCTAGAAACAACCAGCAAAATGTTTAGATGAGAACAAAGGAGACTTTCATAGTAACTGTCTATGGTGGACAATACTAATTGTCCATATTTTATATATTATCACTTTATATATTCTGCTCAATATATAATGTCAATTTTGTTTAGGTGTTCACAGCTCTCTACTTCAAGAGATTCAAGGAAATTTGAGACCAATTTTGGACTTGAATAGATTATCATTGCCAGAACCAATAATTATAAATTCCATCCCCCAAGCCAAGCTTAATTCTAATTAATGCAAAAAAAAAAATCACTCGAGTATTTTGAAATAGGTATATGCCTTCTGCTGAGTGAATTAAGAGAGATGAAAATGTGAATTTGTCAGAGTAGATGGAGTTTGGTTAGGTAACAAAAAAATAATTTGGAAAACTAAGGAAGGATATTTAATAAAATTGAGAATCCTTGATACAAATCTATGCATTATCTATATTACCTACTTTACAGTAATAATAATTCACCTTACTTTCATACTCTGTGATTGGATGATTGCAAATTAGAAAAAAAAGACTTTTTTTTTTAATAGCTAAGTATTCTGTGTTTTATGATTTGAAGTGTTTTCTTAGGTGAAGCCAAAATATTGTTTTGGTAAGCATGTCATTAAGATGGAAATTGATGAATATATTTCCAGATAAAAAAGAGATAGGGCCTTCCTAATGGCACAGGGGTTAAGTCATAGCCCTATCAAGCTATTGCCAGCCACTGCAGCATGAGTTCAATCCCCAGCCAGGGAGCTAACTCACACAGCAAAGCAGACCTCTCCTGTCCTACCTGCTGCTCCCCTCAGCAGTATATTTCAGTCAATCTGCCTGTTCCTCTCCCCAGTCTGTCTCTGGTGAATCCTTTCAGCCCCTGCACCTCCTACCAATACCCCCGTTCTTGTATGCATAAATGAATAAAATAAATCTTAAAAAAATAGATAAATGGATAGGTGATCCAATAGATGGGGAGACAAAAGAATTTATGGTGTCTAACCATACTAATGGGTGGTTAGACAGACAGGACAACAACAAGAAAAGATGGACAGACAGAAAATTAGAGAGACAGACCAATGTCCTGATAGGTGGAGAGTAATATAATAAAGGTAGACAGATAGCATACGATGAAGACAGTAGTCAGGGAGCTATGAAGGCAAAGAGAAGAGCTTAAGTCAGCCATTGAGCTATGTTCTACAAAGATAGTACATTCTCCAAAGATTCAAAGATAACGTGTGTGTACTTATTTATCTATCTACTTTTCTATTTTAGTGTAAACAGTGTGGTGGTATATATTCCTCTATACATACAGACAGAATAGCCTGTGCTACTTTTCACAATCAGAAGCAGCAGAGCAGATCTATGAACTGAAGTCTGAAGAGCTCCAAAGTCCCTGGGTCTGCCCTTCATGAGGCATAACTACACACTGTCACCCAGTTGGAGATGTCACAGCAAAACAAAAGCAACAAATCCCAGACAGCAGCAAATACTGTTAACATCTATAAACTAAATGTAAATAAGAAAATAGGTGTACAGCTCTAATAAATGTCTAAGTTAAATGAGCAAACTAAGCAACATCAAGCAAAACTTTATTTTGCCTTTGGAGGTAATTGCATTAACAGATTGTTTTTAAAAACCAGTGCTTTGTTATATTTCAGAAAAGGGAGTAACAAATTTAAATATATGCCTTATCATAGAACTTCTAATATTAAATTACTCTAATACTCTTAACTAATATTGTCCATACTGCTATGGTAAGTAAATGTAAGATATATTTGTTTTTGAATAAGCATAAGCTAATTACAGTAAGTAACATTCAGTAATATATCATGAAAAGAAATGCACAGTAGCTAAGCTAAAATGTAATTGGGAGAAACCATTTCTTCAGCTCCTGTGGTGAGCATTGACAAGTGGAATGATACTGCTGAGGCTGTATATCACCAGTTACCCATCAGCTGTAGATGAGTGTGTGGATTTGCATTAGTTCAGTTATAGGCCAGTCACCATAGAAGAGCACTCACTATGAAATGCACAGGGGCAGAGTTCTCATTACAGAGACATAAAATTTAATCTACAGACCCTTTGCCCTTTGTTGTTTGAAAACCTAATAAAGCACAGGGCTTATTACTGATATTGCTGTTACACTAAGAAGTGTTCTAGGAATACATGTTGAGAAGTTATGAGAAGCTATACATCTGGCTCTGGCTGAAGAACTAAACTGATGTGGATAAGAGGTACTCCAAGAATTTTTATCTGAGACTCTCTGTGTTTTTCCTAATTAAGCACATGGGACAGATTTTTCACAAATGTGTCTTTATGAAAATACCCAAATTTTGATATATCTCCAATACTGGGGAAGAAAGGGAAAAGTAACCAAAAACTGACCTTGCAATCTGGTTTCATGTTCCTTTCATTTTTAGTTGTTTCATCAACCACTTTTCAGTGATGATCACCAGGTCTAGAAGAAAGTACAGACAGGACAGGTTGATTCTGTACAATTTCTGGCCTTCTAGGTGAGGTTCATTATTTTCTTTCCTATTCAAAAAACAAACAAAGCAAAATCATGTCAGGATGCAAATAGTGAGAGTGACACTATTACATGAATAATTTGGGATCACTTTCATTCATAAATCTTTAGATTTTGATAACTTTAGTTCTTTAAACAAGACCTGCATTCTCTGTGCCTTTTCTTTATCTCCTAGGCTATTCTTTCTTGGTTTCCTTTGTGAATTTTCCTCTTCTACCTCTCTTCTAGGTCAAAATCTTATTAGTCTCTGCAACTTAAATACAAGACACAATAGTTTGAGGAATGGGAAGAAGCAGTCAGTATAAAATACCAGGGGTCAAGATTTTAAAGGCAATTCAAGACTGTAATATAATCATTACATAAACATTTAGCCAATCCATCTTTGTTAGAGATGGATAAAATTTATTTTAAAAACATCCTGTTCATCAAAGCTTAGACATTTTCTTGGTGGTTCTAGCAATATAGTCATGGGCTTGCCGTCAGAAAGATTATGGTTCCTACTTAAGTTTCCCATGTTAATTCTTGATCTTGGGCAGGTTACTTATTCATCCAGATGCTTCACCTCTAAAAGTGGGAAAAATATGGATCATTCTTAAGAGATTATTGGGAGGGTTATGCATATTGATAGGCCTTATAATGACTTGTCATAAGACTGACATTTATTAAGGACTCAGGAAATATTAAATATGATTTTATTAAATTAGGAAGATAACAGAGTTGGTAAAAATAATAGAAGAAAGTCAGAGCAATTATAATTTTCCTAAGAAACATTAAGATCTTTTTATTAGATGCCAAAAACCACATATCCCCCCTTCAACAAGCATTTCTTCTGTCACTACTATGAAATAGATATATATAGTACCAGGTCCTGGGATTTTACAGTTCCTTCAGTTGGGGGTGGTTACAGACAACATAGAAAAGATAAGACAATGAACATGTGGCTGCCAAAGTGAGCTGGTGGTCAAGGGGAAGTAAAAAATGTTTAGAGGACTACATGAGATGAAGCTAATAGTTTCTACAGTTCAGGTTCAGAAAGGCTTCCTGAAAAGTAATATCAAAATGACAGATTGAAGGTGGAGTACATGTTTTCTAAACTAAGAATGTGTCAGAGAAAGACAGAGGAAGGGTTGGAAGTCTTACAGACCAAAAGAACAACAGACAGAATAGAATAAAAATGACCTCCAACACAACAAAGGAATTTAGAATATAAACAAAAGTACCTTAACCAATAAATTACAGAAATAAAGCTGACTTGGAATAAAAATTGAAATAGGAGAGAGTTGATAAGTAGAGAAATAGTTGAAAATTTCATGAGGAGGTCAAAGGAAAGATGGAATAGGGATATTTGATAGTTGAATGACTAGAAAGAGAAGAGGTCATGCTCAAAAGTAGATCTCTGCAATTGTGCAAGGTGATGGCAAGATCCAAGATCTAGTGCAGTGAGTAGCCCAAAACAGAGGATGAAAGAAGTCACTGGATATGAGAAACTCAAGAAATAGAGGTCAAGTGAAAATTTCAGTCACCAGCTATATAGCAAGACTTGAAATGGAGAGCCACAATGCGAATCAGACACTAGAATATTAATGGATTACCTTGAGAAAGACACACTGGAAAAGTGATGGTACAAACATTGTAAGTTTAAAGAGAGTGGTGTTTCTATTTTTATAAGAGAATAGCCATCTTAAAATAGTGCTTGAAAGCACTAGAGGATGATGTTAACTCATCAATCTCTTGCTCAAAATAACTACAAAACACATTCTGACTCTGAAGTATATATGACATAGGAGTTTGAACAGCCTTTACCAAAGAAGTCAAATCCCAAATGTGTCCTCCAAGTCTTTGATAATAAACAGAGTATACTTTATTTTTTTTAAAGATTTATTAATTTGTTTATACAAGCACTGGGTACAGTCAGAAGCACGGGAGGGTGAGAGAATTCACCAGAGCCAGAGAAAAGAACAGACAGACTGATGAAATACACTGCTGAGGGGAGCAGCAGGCCTGGCAGGAGAGGTCTGCGTGCCATGTGGGACCCTCGTAAGCAGCCGGGGATTGAACCGGCGCTGCAGAGGCTGCAGGCAGCTTCGCAGCCCAGCGCTCAACCACTGCGCCACCAGGGGAGGCCCAATAGAGTATACTTTAAAGTAAAAATGTCCCCAACTCCTAAATGGTTACCAGCAGGAAGAAAAAATTCTCTCAATAAGGAATTTTACCTTTAAATAAAAGTGAAGAAATCTTTAAAGAGACAATAAAGTAGTTTAAACTATGAATTGTAAAAGTCTAAAAATGCATGTATATAATAGTTACAATAGACACAAACATAGTTAAAGTAGAATTAACAGTGTTTGAAGAGCAAATTTTAGAAGTCTACAATTTAAGAAGTTGCGTTATATACCATTCCACTCTGTATTATAACAAACCAAGCTCAGTCATTTTACAAAGATTCAAAATTTATTACCTCTTTTCCAGAAAATATATGAAAAATTGGTTCTTGTCATAGATATGTATAATTCATATATATAATTTATTTTCTCAACAAGACCTAATTAATGTGTATCTTTGAATATAAAAATGTGGAAATATGTAGAAGCTTATAAAACAGTTATGAGGTTTTTTATTTTATAAAAGAAATGCAAAAACTCTTTATACAAGAAATGTAAAATGCTACAAGTCAAAATACATAACTATTTTACTATCTTAAATACCTATCTTTGCCTTTGCATCCTCAATAACACCGTCTCTAAGGTTTTAATGAGATGAGTACGCATGTGCATTTTAAAGCCCACCCCCAAAAAAGTGATCTACAAACCAAACAATTTTATATTTCAGATACAATTCCCTCAACGTTTTAATAATGCTAATCCTTTCTCATGTTATACTTCATAGGATAAATTGCAATGAGAAAAAAAGGAAATTCTCCCACAAACAATACCATGCAGAGTAAGTTGCTCCATGCTCCTCTACAAACTAAGAGAGCTTCTGGATGATTAAACAGTTTTAGAGACCATTGTCAGTAAACAACCTTGATAGCCTTCAGCTGATACCAAAAGACTCTGGAAATTAGCAAATAATGAGGTCAACAAGAAGGGCAGTAGAAACCAGTTAGCAAAATAAGTAAGTTTCTAGGTCAAAGGTAACTTTTTGAGATTAGAATAAGCTAATTTATTTTATTACAGTCAGAAGGTGATGCCTGGTCTGGGAAGTGACTAACCAGAGGTAGAGCTGGGCTGCTGGTTATTAGCCTGGACAACCACTCTTCCTAATGTGACTAAGTGACTTGACTATCCAATAAACTTCACCATTATATATCGTTTCAGCTCACAGCGTATTGTATCCAGGAACACCCTCACGTCGCATGTGACTTACCCTTAGCAGTGACACATGACACAGAGGGGTGGGGGAACAGGCTGTCTTCCAGGGCTGCAGTGACACAGCCCTTTGGGGGTCACACTGAAATAGGAAGACTGTTAACCCTGGTTGCTGTGAGAATGTGCTTTCCGAAGTACACTGAGAACAGCTATGCCTTCCCTCTCACTCTTCCCTCCCCCATGCATATGGTGAAAAATGACCTATTTGGACAAGAAAAAATTCTGAAAGGAAAATAGTCTTCCCCTCCCCCAGCTCCTCTAACAAGCTCTGTAAGATACAGGGACATAGAAAATGGATTTTTTCAAATAACCCATGTTGGGAAAATAATTATGAACTAAGATTGCACAATGGCCCCTGTTTGTTGTTGCTTTGATTATCTTGCTCACATCTAATTGATTTGTTGTCAATGCTTTTAATCGGTAGCTTTCTTTACTTCAATGCTTTGCGTCAAATATAGCTGTCTCTTTAAATTTATTTTCTGTTGCTTTAGCCATTGCTGTTTATTTTTCCCCTGTGCCTCAAAGCATTGAGAGCATGGATTGTAGAGATAACTAGGATTTCTGCTGTTTTAAACTCCACTCGTGAAGGTGTCTTATATTGTCACTGCCCTTGTCTTTTCAATCCTTCTTGTCTAATCTCATTATGCCCAAATGAACATATTCATATTATCAGTGCTTGTGGCCCAGAATATCTTTCACATAGTTGCAAATCTGCTTCATCGTGTAATGGCAAAAATAAGAGTCAAAAAGGAAGCAGAGTGTTCAGACATAGCATTGAAATCAGCTAGCACCTATTTTACAAACTTCATGTCTGACATTCATATTAACACGTGATGAAGTTTGAACCCAAGACAACTTCTAGCTGAGGAAACTTAATAGGCATGGGGAGAGAGATTAACCATTTTTCCTCTTTCTCCTGATCAGTTCTGCAGAGCATATTTTAACCTCTCTCAAAACACAGACTTTTGAGCAGTTATTTTCCACTCCATTCCTGCCCATTGAAAGTTGAAAAGTTGCTGGCAACACACTGAATTTTTAAAAGCTCTGAAGATGTGACGAGATGAGTAAATCACCATTGCCCTCTAGTGTCCAGAACAAGCAACACCTTGGAAATCACAGCTGCAGTAACTGCAAACGCAGCAGCTAGTCTTTTTAATGAAGAAATGTGGTTTGTTTCCATTATATTTGGTTTCAGCTTTCAAAGAGTTTCAGCTTTCCCTACAAATTCTCTGGAAACAGAAGTGCTGCATTTTTCAGGTCAGGCGATATTTATTTCAGTTATCGCTAAAAGCACAGTGAAATGAAATTATATCATTCTTGAAGGGACTAAATAGAAAAAGCAGAAGAAACAATTTTAGCAAGTTTTTTTTTATATGTTTAAGGAAGCATAATACCCAGAAATTGATGCAGAGCCAATATCTTTGTCTGGAATATAGAATGTGTGTATTTGTGTGTTGGTGCATGTGTGTACTTTAAATTCATGTCTAGGTAGATGTGAATGTGACCTGTTTTTACTAATAGGATAGTAAATTCAATCTCTAAAAATCTACAGAAGAGACAGGTTATCCTTCTTGTCCTGGAGGGCAAATAAATAAGATGTTTTCAAGAGATTCCACAGGCAAAGCCATCTGTTTGAAATC